TTTATTACTGCTTTTTTTTGGGGGGGGAAGTCGTTTTCTTTTTTTTCTTTGCTATGAAGTTCCTCTTGTTTCCTTGTGGTGCTGGATAGTGTACTTCTGTCATGTGCATTCTTTTTGCATTGCTTCCAACTGCAGTTTCTGGTTCTGGATGCTGCTTTTGTGTTGTTGACTACATCATGAGTTTTAATTCTGCATCATTTTTAATTTTGGATTTTAATGTTGAGATTCCAGTTGTAATGTATTCTGATTTTTTTTTTTTTTTTTTTATAGGTTGCAGTTGCAATTGTATTTTAAACTATGATTATCAAGTTGCAATTGCAATTTATTTTGGATATAAACACTCGGAGGTTGCAGTGATCACTGAATTGCATATTAGAACAGGCCAGATTAAAGTGATCAAATAATCTTATACAATCATTGAATATGAGGCTTTTTGATTTTTACATATATCAGCTAGTTCACTATAGGGTATTTTTATATAATTCGCCTACACTATGTGGTAGATATCAGGGAGTGCGATGTGTCAAATCTATGCGGTTCCAATCAAATTCCTCCTCTAGGTGGTAGGCTTCCATAAAGAGTGATATAAAATATAAAGGAGATACCAAGAATGGTTGGAACTTGGGAATCCAGGGGTATTAATATAAGCAGCAATTAACACTTTAAACAAGATACATGTTTATTTTTGTAGCAGGACTTTGCTGATGACTTATCAGATGGTAATAGTCATTGCTATGTCAGAGCTAATGTTTCTTTGGCTTGATCTTAAATACAGTTTAGGTATTCCTCATTTCTGTCAGATTCCAGCAGGGTTGGTGAAAGATTATTTCATGATGATTGATCTTTTCAGATGTTCATTACATTAGTTATTTATCTATGCATTGCTGGTAGAATATAGTATACCTAAACATTAACACATCTTCATATGAAAGTATTATCAGAGCTGTAAGGAATGGTTTTCTTTGAAATTTTGTTTGATCATTTAACATGAACTTATTTCTTTGAAAGAAATGGTTATACATAAGGCAGTAAAATTGATTTGAAAAGATATCTATTAACACTGACTGCGCTGATTTTGTTGCTTACTGATTGTAGAATCACATGAGTTGTTGGCCTGTTAGAATATTGCTCAAAATGCAGCATGTAGCTGTGTCAATACCTGGTATCACTGCATTTTTTAGATGAATATGATTGTACTTCAAAAAATATTAGATTTATCAACTTAATAAATTGTATATAGATTGCCTACACCATTTCATTTCCCTCTTTTATATATTTCAGTATGCTTGTGTTTACCAGACCAATGACTTCAAAACCTTCAAGTCAATCATTGTTCTTCTCTTCTGGATATCCATATATAAATGCATGTATATATATATATGCATACATGGAATATGGAATTATGCACTACTGCATTGATATGATGAATAAATAACTTAACCTCTCCAGCCAGGATTTGAACCTAGGTATTTGCAGGCAGGTAACTCCCCATGGGCAATTGGTAGAAATTGACAGAGCAGTTCAAACCCGAAGTCAGAAGTATTGAGGTGTATCTATGAAAGATGGAATTATGCACTACTGCACTGATATGATGAATAAGTAACTTACCCTCTCCGACCAGGGTTCAAACCTGGATCTTTGCAGGCAGGTAACTGCAAGACAGATGCTCTACCAACTGAGCTATCTGAGAGAGAGAGGAGAGGGAGAGAGAGAGAGAGAAACACACATATACATATATATATTATATATATATATATATATATATATATATATATATATATGTATATATGTATATAATATATATGTATATGTGTATGAATATATATGTATTTATATATATATAATATGTATAAATAAATATGATATATATAGATAGATAGATAGATAGAGATATAGGTATGTATATATAATATGTGTGTGTGTGCGTGTGCGTGTGCGTGTGCGTGTGCGTGTGTGTGTGTGTGTGTGTGTTTGTGTGTGTGTGTGTACATATATATATGTATATATATATAAATATATATATATATATATATATACATATATATATGTATATATATATATGAAAATGAAACTAGCCAGAATGAGAATTCAAAATAAGTGTGACGTTTCAAACTCTTCACGAGTTCCTCTTCAGACAAAAAACAAAATGGATCGATCCATTTCGGTTTTTTGTCTGAAGAGGAAATCGTGAAGAGTTCGAAAGGTCACCCTTATTTTCAATTCTCATTGTGGCTAGTTCATTTTCATTTTGTGGACACGTGATTGTGTTTGTGCTTATATATATATATATACTATATATATATATTATATATAATATGTATATATATATATATATATATATATATATATATTATATATATATATATATATATATATATATTATATATATATATATACATTATATATATATATATACATATACATATATGTAATATATATATATATATATATATATATATATATATATATATATATATATATATATATATATATATATATA